GTCGACCTCAAACATAACAATAGTTTTCGTGTCGCCTTTCGTTGTTTAAATCATTTCTCGCAAGAACAATACAAGTCTATTTAATTGAGTAAATTTCTGACTTCTTTATGCATGAGACATAGGAAGTCAACATAACTCTGGCTTGCTGCTGTAAGTCCTTTGTCTTCAACAAGATAATGTTTGAACCACGGTTCCAGTTTATCGCGTTGTCTGACGATAGAAACCTGCAAATAAATCGTTATTAGTAACTAAACTATAAGTAATTTAATTATTTATACTCTATACAATGTTTCACAGAATTACTCCATACTCAAGCTTAATTTCCTGCTATACGTTGTAAACAAAATTTAAAAGGTAAAAATAATGTTAACCTTCATGTATCTATGTCGTTCCTCCTGGATTTGAGCGATAATTCCTCTTATTCGTCGTGACAAAGCTGTATCCAACTCAGGCAATGCCGTCTATAAGAAATTAAAACGTTTTACAACACCCTTTAACCTGACAATAAAATGTTAAGTTAATTAATAAGTAGTAGTTTAGTAAATAACTAGAATATAAAGAATATAGAGCAGTATGCTGAAAAATATGTTTCATAGCACTGTGTTACGACCTAATGTCTATATGTCCAATGTTTAGACAACTTTAGAATGTGTGTTCATACGCCAGCAGTCAAGCAGGGTTGTGAGTGAGAGTGACACGAAACACCAGACTTGGAAAAATAATGAAGAGAAGAAAGCAAAAGCAAAGATGATGCATGAAGTTCTTTTACACTGATACTATATTAAAGCAGACGAAACATACCATCTCAATATCAACATGACCAATGGTAGAAACACCAAACACTTGTTGAAGCCAGTCGGGATTTACATGTAGTCCGATCCACAAAAACAAGACTATGCTGTTTTCTAAATAACGACAAATTTATACGCACAAATTTAGCTTTTGAAAGAGTCTACACTAAGAAGTGGACTAGAGTCATAGAGAAACAACATAAACACAGCAAAAATAGCTTATGTATGATTTAACAGTTCCATACTGCATTTTGCAGAACTCACCAAGTAAATACACGCCATTTTCTTTGATTTGCAAACTCACCAAGTAAATACACGCCATTCTTCTGTTTGATTCTCATGCAGTAGCGTAGTCAGCCTGTCGATTTGTCCCGCTATGCTAATATTTTGGTGTTCACTGAGTGTTAAAACAATAAATTTCTAAAGACATGAATAATTATAATAACTCGAAATTACATAGCAGGACAAAATCGTCGGGCTGGCTACGGCACTGTTCTCATGTACATAATTGTTTTGAAATGTCCAATCCTAATGGTACAGCAGTAGTATTGCAGTTTGCAAACATTTCAGATTTAGAGCAATATTTGTATTTCTTTCTGAGGGCATAGCATTCTAATTTGTTTGAAATTGTGCCTGTTCAGTTTACAGAACTTCTTTTTTAAATTGCACCTCAACCAAAACTGGGAATTTTATCCAGAGTGTAAGGCCCCGAAAAATAGAAATTACAAAAAAGCTAAACATTCAAAGGAAAATGATCATGAAAAATATGAGGGAGTATACAAGCAAACAACAGTGTAATGAAACTGATTTGGCTTGACAATATAGACTTAATAGTGCAAATGTAAAAGCCTTGGTAGACATAGTTCCCCAAGACATTTGTCTTTCTACTGTGTCGACAGTCCCCATTATCACATTAGAAATGTTCTAGTTTTGTTTTTGTGTACCCTTTTATAGATGTTATTGACATGTAACATTAAATAACTATTTATGGCACATGTTACTGTGCTGCTGAAATTGACATTTAAATTTGATAGTGCATTTGACATTTTGTACGATTATGTTGACATTTCCTGTTCTTCTTTTAATATAAATTTATCTTACTTTTTTTTGAAAAGCATTGCAAATCTTCTTCATATAAATAATATACCAGTTGAGAAAACATAATGTAAACCCCTCCCCCCACCAATAAGTCAATCACAAACACTTATGTATGGCACTGTATTGCATACATAGTGTTTGTTACTATTAATGCCTTATTAATAAAAGTTATTATCAGTATTAATTGCTTGTTACTATTAAGATGTAAATATTTCAGACTTCATCAAATAAGTGTAAATAGTAAGTTTTGAAGTGCTGTAAGTTTATCTGTTTAGACTTAATCACTGATATCACTTGTAGATAAAGTTTTTTTTCAAGCTAATATTAGTTGTTTTCCCAAGGCAGCAATCTCCTTGCGATAGTAACTCCTAGTTATAATTATTATTTAGACTCCGCAACTCACGAGACTGCTGCCTCACGCACAGGATGGAGACCAGCAGGCTATAATATTGACGAGTACCCGTTTGCGTGCTGTGCCCAGGGTAAGATCTCGCGGTCAAAAACAAGCATTTTCACATAATGATAAGTATATATAGTTCAGTGGTAACTGATGATCACGTGAAACACATGTGACATATTAATCTAACACAGATTTCATGTTCTAAGGTGGAAAAGGCGCTGTTTTGAGGCCGGTTCCGATAAGAGAAAACGGCATCCAAGGGGGCAAACTGGCACAATTTTCAAGAAATGATATCAAAGATGGCGATTCTTACAAGATCAAACTTACTTAGAGCCAGCTCTTCATATCGTGTGGTCTAAAGCTACTGATGTTGTAGACGTTTCTTTTGTGCTGTCACAAAATAAATATTGTCAGAAACGTAATACGACATTTCTTTAACAAACGTCTTATTTGCGTGCGCGAGACAGAGACAAGCGTTTGTTCCTGGGTGGATTCAGCACTAGAGCACTAATTTGCATGACACAAGAAAACTGCTAAAAATATAAACCACTTTGTTTTGTAATGCAAGTTTGTGCATTAGTGCCTGGATCCACCCCTGGTCTGTCCTCTTTTTCCCGCTGATGTTTTGAGTATTTTTGTTGCCTATTTTTCCTGTTGACAGTCACGTGGTGAGTCAATGGTTGAGCATACATTTGTCAAGTCATCCAGACCTTTTTAGGACATGCATTTTACCAAACCCTGGGTTTTATGTAGTTTTAGCGAGACAACAAATAATGTCAATATCTCCACTTCCTTGATTTCCGGCTCTGGGGCGGTTCTTCTGAGTAAAGGAAAACTGCTTCGCTGGGCATTTGAAAGGTACGTTTCGAGTAGGCCAAAACACGGTTAACTTCTTGTTGAGTCAGTAGCTTGGATTTATAACCACGTCGTTTTCGTAGGAGTGAAAACAAAAGGAAGTCCTAAAGTTGAAAAGTAAGTTAGGTGAAGGCTGAGTTTAGTTGGTTGTTAAACTAGATGATATACACTGTAGCAAATAGTCAATTATATGACTTCCGCCTCGCTATATAATGTGCTTTCAGTTATGGTTTAATACAGTATGGTAAATGCGAGTTATTTGATTTTGTAGAAGTCTGAAAGTTTAAAAATGAAGTCCATCCTATTATTCATTGCTTTGGTTGCTTTCATTCCGACTTTAATGGCGAAGTCTGATGGTGGGTACTGACTACTGTGTTTTGTTTCATTTTACTGTACGCATGGATACCTTTTGTATTCCTGTGTGCATGAGTATTCTCTTGCATTTATCTTATCACCGAGTTGAAGTACTGAGCAGATGTGTACGAGATTTTGAGGGCAGACTTGGGCACACATAATGAAAATTTCAGTTTTGATATTTGTTTATAGACTCGATGAACGGGATGAAACACAACAACTTTCACAACAACTTTAAGTTATTTCTTAGAGCATTAACACCGTGTCCCCGTATCACCTTTCCCTGTTCTCGTATCCCAGACGTCTGCAAAAATATGCGAAACGCCATTTCCAAGGGAAAACCTACAACGTTAAACCGCATCACAGATCCGAAGAAAATAGCACAGAACAGAAGAAGATCCGGTTGTCCAAAATTGCCAAAAGTATCGGGAAAAAATTGTGACGAATATCCGTTTGCATCGAGCAGGCAAGGTTAGTAACAGTTTATTACCCAGCTATACTAGCGGGCATTTAAAACCGTATCAAAGTCGAATTATCGTCCATGTTATGACCTGTCTTTGAGAAGAACTGCCTAAATGCTAACGTCGAGATTCTGATGCTATGAATCTATATATTTTGTACAAATCAATTGTCTCAAAATACGACGTATAACTTAAGTCGCCATTCAAGTTCCATATATTTAAATAAAATCTTTATTTTCAAAGGTGGAGCGGGTGCTGTGATCATGAATGTTCCTAAAAGAGAAAACAGCATTCAGGGTGGATTACTGAGAGGTTTTTATGTGAAGCAGAAGATCGGGAATGGTGACTGTTACAAAGTTGCACTAGGTCCATAAATGACGGCTGATTTTGTCGTCAATTCTTTGCACTGATGTTTCTCAAAATAACTAATAATTATACATGTAATTCTTGCCACAAAGTAACGTAATTAATCAATCTTTTCAATAATTTTCCGCTAAACAATTCTTTCTATAAATGACACAAATATAGCTAAATACGATACGTACTCATGTGACCACTGACTTTTGTCTCAAAATCGGCTTAAATTAAAACTAACCTAATCGCTTGCGAATTACGCATTAGGGGTGTTACCCAAACCCCCACACGATCCCCGCGATCCTCACACCTCTGGTAATTACGCCCCTGGTGATGAATGCCGTGGGGTTGAGTTTTTGAATAACTTCAAGAGATTTTAAGGGCCGAAATTTCTCTCAAAGCCTGGGTTTACTGACGCGAACTATTACAGGCATATACACGAATACACACTCTAATACTTTTCTTCATGCAGAAACTGCTTCTTTCTGCAATAAATACGCAACATTTTTAACTGTGGACTCACCACATGACAGGTCATTCTGTTTTGCGATTTTATTGTATGTTTTTATTAATGAAAATAATGTGATAAAATACACAGCAATAGCCTAACTGAGTATGATTATTTTTTCAGACTTACAGACGTCAGAAGATTAGCTTTTAAACACTCGCATCAACGTTTTAATTCAGGATGAAAGTTTTTTTGCCATTTCTTATTTGTGCTCTTCTCGCCGCATTCACAACAACCATTCGTGGAAGAGGTTCGTATCCAACCCACTTTTTAAACCGTCTATTTTATTTTAACCCATCAACTTACTGTATTTTATACCATAAAGCTGTATAATGTCGTAAATTATGACTCGAGACGAACCGAAAACAAATCTCGAAAAAAAGGCCTTGAAAAGAAAAACAAAGCGAAAGGTGCTATCAAAAATGTGTTTTTATAATTATTTAGACTCCGCATCTCACGAGATTAGTAACAAGGAATCATCATTTGAGAAACGTGCTGCATAGACCAATTGCGAAACTTAGTAACCGCGCCTTCGCATAACATGGAAGCGAGGTATTATGCAAAAAACAATATTTGTATTTTTTGCCGTACAAACGTCCGGTTTTTAAACTGTATCGAAGTACACTTCCGCACGTCTGGGATAACATGTACTTCGCTATTCATACCAAGGGAAAACCTTCAACTTTGACTCGCATTACAGACGATAGGCTAATCGAAAAAAACAGAATGGAATCTCGATGTACTATTGTGTATCAATTGGCACCAGCAGGCTATAATATTGATGAGTACCCGTTTGCATCCAGTGCCCAGGGTAAGATCTCGCGGTCAAAAACAAGTAAAAATATTTCAGAGTAGCATTTTCACACTTTTTACATAGTGATAAGTATATATAGTTCAGTGGTAACTGATGAGCACGTGAAACACATGTGACATATTAATCTAACACAGATTTCATATTCTAAGGTGGAGAAGGCGCTGTTTTGAGGCCGGTTCCGATAAGAGAAAACAGCATCCAAGGGGGCAAACTGGCACAATTCTACAAGAAATATAATATCAAAGATGGCAATTCTTACGAATTCTTACGAATTAATAGTCAGTTGCTAGCTTCAGCTCTTCATATCGTGTGGTCTAAAGCTACTGATGTTGTAGACGTTTCTTTTGTGCTGTCACAAAATAAATATTGTCAGAAACGTAATACGACATTTCTTTAACAAACGTCTTATTTGCGTGCGCGCGACAGAGACCAGCGTTTGTTCCAGGGGATCCAGCACTAGTGCACTAATTTGCATGACACAAGAAAACAGCTAAAGATAACCACTTTGTTTTGTAATGCAAATTTGTGCATTAGTGCTGGATCCATCCCTGGTTTGTTCTCTTTTTCCCCCTGATTTTTTGGGTATTTTTGTTGCCTTTTTTTCCTGTTGACAGTCGTGTGGTGAGTCAATGGTTGACCATACATTTGTCAAGTCATCCAGATCTTATTAGGACATGCATTTTACCAAACCCTGGGTTTTAGCGAGACAACAAATAATGTCAATATCTCCACTTCCTTGATTTCCGGCTCTGGGGCGGTTCTTCTGAGTATTGACATTTGAAAGGTACGTTTCGAGTAGGCCAAAACACGGTTAACTTCTTGTTGAGTCAGTATCTTGGATCTATAAACACGTCGTTTTCGTAGGAGTGAAAACAAAAGGAAGTCTTGAAGTTGAAAAGTAAGATATCTGAAGGCTGAGTTTAGTGGGTTGACAAACTAGATGATATAGACTGTAGCAAATAGTCAATCATATGACTTCCGCTTCGCTATATAATGTGCTTTCAGTTATGGTTTAATACACTAAATACAGTATGGTAAATGCGAGTTATTTGATTTTGTAGAAGTCTGAAAGTTTAAAAATGAAGTCCATCCTATTATTGATCGGTTTTGTTGCTTTCATTTCGACTTTAATGGCGAAGTCTGATGGTGGGTATTGACTACTGTGTTTTGTTTCATTTTACTGTATGCATGGATACCTTTGGTATCCTATGTGCATGAGTATTCTCTTGCAGTGAAACATTAGGGAAATTACTCCAACTTTATCTTTATATTCACCGCACTTAACTACTGAGCAGATGTGTGCGAGATTTTGAGGGCAGACTCGGGCACACATGATGAAAATTTCAGTTTTGATATTTGTTTATAGACTCGCTGAACGGGATGAAACGCAACAACTTTAAGTTATTTCTTAGAGCATTTGCACCGTGTCCCACTATCACCTTTCCCTGTTCTCGTATCCCAGACGTCTGCAAAAATATGCGAAACGCCATTTTTTCAAAGGGAAAACCTACAACGTTAAACCGCATCACAGATCCGAAGAAAATAGCACAGAACAGAAGAAACTCCGGTTGTCCAAAATTGCCAAAAGTACCGGGAAAAAATTGTGACGAATATCCGTTTGCATCGAGCAGGCAAGGTTAGTAACAGTTTATTACCCAGCTATACTAGCGGGCATTTAGAACCGTATCCAAGTCGAGTTGTCGTCCATGTTATGACCTGTCTTTGAGAAGAACTGCCTAAATGCTAACGTCGAGATTCTGATGCTATGATTATGAATCTATATATTTTGTACAAATCAATCATAAATTGTCTCAAAATACGACGTATAACTTAAGTCGTGATTCAAGTTCCATATATTTAAATACGAATCTTTATTTTCAAAGGTGGAGCGGGTGCTGAGATCATGAATGTTCCTTCAAGAGAAAACAGTATTCAGGGTGGATTACTGGCTGGTTTTTATCGTGCGCAGAAGATCGGGGATGGTGACTGTTACAAAGTTGCACTAGGTCCATAAATGACGGCTGATTTTGTCGTCAGTTCTTTGCACTGATGTTTCTCAACTAATAATTATACATGTAATTCTTGCCGCCAAAGCAACGTAATTAATCAATCTTTTCAACGATTTTCCGCTAAACAATTCTTTCTTATAAATGACACAAATATAGCTAAATACCATACGTATTCATGTGACCACTGACGTTTGTCTCAAAATCGACTTAAATTAAAACTAACCTAATCGCTTGCGAATTACGCATTAGGGGTGTCACCCAAACCCCGATACGATCCCCGCGATCCTCACACCTCTGGTAATTTCGCCCCGAATAACTTCAAGTGATTTTAAGGGCCGAAATTTCTCTCAAAGCCAGGGTTCACTGACGCGAACTACTACATATATACACGAATATCGCCTGTTAATAACTAGTGTAGAAAATATACTTAAAATACTCACGGAAATGTTATATTTTTGTGAGAAAACGCAGAAGCCAACGCGGTTAACAATTTAAAAGTAACCATTTCATGGTTTAGAAGACATTTTGTCAACCATACAAGATTATGGCAAGATAATGGACAATAAAAAACCCACAAAAAAGTGTTTAAAGTGCCATTGAAAACAATGAAGTCGTTAAAATGTGAAATTAGTACAATTAACACCGTGTGATAATTCTCTAATTAGTTTAATAAGGTATGAGACATGACACATGAAAGCAGGTGTGGAGAACTGATGCATTGAACATGCAATTATATATCGGGGGGGGGGCAATTATCCTGTGACACCGGGCTTTGTGACCGGGCGGAGTTTGACGCAGTGACGCTGCGGTATTTTAATAACAAGCAAGTTCGTACTCGTAGGCAAGACTGGCAAGTAAAAGACTTGACGCTGAAGCAATCGACAAATTATGGCTGATGACTGTTTTCATGTTACCTCTAGAGGTAAACAGTGTGCTTTTAATAGTTTATTAGGACTTTTAACAGCCCACAAAAGCCTTTGCGCCAATGGCAAATTGGCAATCAATGGTCGCTAACGACATTAAACACTTTTTTATTAATACAAGGCGACAAAATGTATATAAAAGCGATGAATAATCACAGAAATCACTTGACAATTTGCCACCAGGTGCCGTGTATTTATCCGCGAAAGACCTGCCAAAACTTGTTAGTGTATCATGTTTTGAGAATGAGCTTTATTTCGACATCTGAGCGAAATGAACCACCCATCGTGGTGAGTGATAGTGACCTGTTGTGGTAAATGACAATTATGAGTCGTCCATTGTGGCTGACTCAATGGTCACAACAAATGATGGGGAAGTAATTTGTGTAATTGAAAACTGCAAGGGCTTGTTATCATTCATGAGGACATTCCCTCTTATAAACTTCACATAGCAATTGCAAATACATTGGTTAAATATAAATATGTTCTTTGATAAAGCATAATATGGAGTGTTTCTATCTGTTTGATTCTCATGCACATAATTGTTTTGGAATGTCCAAGCCTAATGGTACAGCAATAGTATTGCAGAACTTTTGCAAACTTAACATTTCAGATTTAGAGCAATATTTGTATTTCTTTCTGAGGCATAGCATTGCAATTTGTTTGAAATTGTGCCTGTTCAGTTTACAGAACTTCTTTTTTAAAATTGCACCTCAACTAAAACTGGGAATTTTATCAGAGTGTAAGGCCCCGAAAAAATAGGAATTACAAAAAAGCTAAACATTCAAAGGAAAATGATCATGAAAAATATGAGGGAGTATACAAGCAAACAACAGTGTAATGAAACTGATTTGGCTTGACAATATAGACTTAATAGTGCAAATGTAAAAGCCTTGGTAGACATAGTTCCCCAAGACATTTGTCTTTCTACTGTGTCAACAGTCCCCATTATCACATTAGAAATGTTCTGTTTTGTTTTTGTGTACCCTTTTATAGATGTTATTGACATGTAACATTAAATAACTATTTATGGCACATGTTACTGTGCTGCTGAAATTGACATTTAAATTTGATAGTGCATTTGACATTTTGTACGATTATGTTGACATTTCCTGTTCTTTCTTTAATATAAATTGATCTTACTTTTATTTTAAAAGCATTGCAAATCTTCTTCATATAAATAATATACCAGTTGAGAAAACATAATGTAAACCCCTCCCCCCACCAATAAGTCAATCACAAACACTTATGTATGGCACTGTATTGCATACATAGTGTTTGTTACTATTAATGCCTTATTAATAAAAAGTTATTATCAGTATTAATTGCTTGTTACTATTAAGATGTAAATATTTCAGACTTCATCAAATAAGTGTAAGTAGTAAGTTTTGAAGTGCTGTAAGTTTATCTGTTTAGACTTAATCACTGATATCACTTGTAGATAAAGTTTTTTTTCAAGCTAATATATAGTTGTTTTCCCAAGGCAGCAATCTCCTTGCGATAGTAACTCCTAGTTATAATTATTATTTAGACTCCGCAACTCACGAGACTGCTGCCTCACGCCCAGTTTTAGAAATGTCTCGCAGTAAAATTCCGAACGTCTGGGATAACATGACTACGCTATTAATACATGGGAAAACCTTCAACCTTGAACCGCATTACAGACAAGGCCCTAATCCGTAAAAACAGAGTGGAAGCTGGATGTGCCGCGTATGGATCGAGACCAGCAGGCTATAATATTGACGAGTACCCGTTTGCGTGCTGTGCCCAGGGTAAGATATCGCGGTCAAAAACAAGCATTTTCACATAATGATAAGTATATATAGTTCAGTGGTAACTGATGATCACGTGAAACACATGTGACATATTAATCTAACACAGATTTCATGTTCTAAGGTGGAAAAGGTGCTGTTTTGAGGCCGGTTCCGATAAAAGAAAACAACAGGCAAGGGGGCAAACTGGCACAATTTTTCAAGAAATATGATATCAAAGATGGCGATTCTTTCAAGATCAAACTTATTAGAGCCAGGTCTTCATATCGTGTGGTCTAAAGCTACTGATGTTGTAGACGTTTCTTTTGTGCTGTCACAAAATAAATATTGTCAGAAACGTAATACGACATTTCTTTAACAAACGTCTTATTTGCGTGCGCGAGACAGAGACAAACGTTTGTTCCTGGGTGGATCCAGCACTAGTGCACTAATTTGCATGACACAAGAAAACTGCTAAAAATATAAACCACTTTGTTTTGTAATGCAAATTTGTGCCTTAGTGCTGGATCCAGCCCTGGTTTGTTCTCTTTTTTCCGCTGATGTTTTGGGTATTTTTGTTGCCTATTTTTACTGTTGACAGTGTGTGGTGAGTCAATGGTTGACCATACATTTGTCAAGTCATCCAGACCTTATTATAGGACTTCCATTTACCAAACCCTGGGTTTTAGCGAGACAACAAATAATGTCAATATCTCCACTTTCTTGATTTCCGGCTCTGGGGCGGAAATAAATAAAGGAAATAATTTATTTATTTATTTATTTATAAATAAATAAATAAATAAAGGAAAACTGCTTCGCTGGACATTTGAAAGGTACGTTTTGAGTAGGCTAAAACACGGTTAACTTCTTGTTGAGTCAGTATCTTGGATCTATAACCACGTCGTTTTCGTTGGAGTGAAAACAAAAGGAAGTCTTGAAGTTGAAAAGTAAGATATCTGAAGGCTGAGTTTAGTGGGTTGACAAACTAGATGATATAGGCTGTAGGGTAGCAAATAGTCAATTATATGACTTCCGCCTCCTATATAATTTGCTTTCAGTTATGGTTTAATACAGTATGGTAAATGCGAGTTATTTGATTTTGTAGAATCTGAAAGTTTTGTTGCTTTCATTCCGACTTTAATGGCGCAGTCTGATGGTGTGTATTGACTACTGTGCAATTTTTGTTTCATTTTACTGTACGCATGGATGCCTTTAGTATTCCTGTGTGCACGAGTATTCTCTTACAGTGAAACATGAACGAAATTACTCCAACTTTATCTTTATATTCACTGCGCTTAAGTACTGAGCAGATGTGTACGAAATTTTGGGGGCAGACTCGGGCACACATGATGAAAAGTTTAGTTTTGATATTCGTTTATAGACTCGCTGAACGGGATGAACACAACAACTTTCACAACAACTTTAAGTTATTTCTTATTTCTTAAAGAATGTCCCACCATCACATTTCCATGTTCTCGTATCCCAAACGTCTGCAACAATATGCGAAACGCCATTTCAAAGGGAAAACCTACAATGTTAAACCGCGTCACAGACCCTAAGATTATAGCACAGAACAGAAGAAACTCCGGTTGTCCAAAATTGCCAAAAGTACCGGGAAAAAATTGTGACGAATATCCGTTTGCATCGAGCAGACAAGGTTTGTTACAGTTTATTACCCAGCTATACTAGCGGGCATTTAGAACCGTATCAAAGTCGAGTTATCATCCATGTAGCAGTAGTTATGACCCGTCTGTGAGAAGAACTGCCTGAATGCTAACGTCGAGATTCTGATGCAATGAATGTATATATTTTGTACAAATCAATCATAAATTGTCTCAAAATACGACATATAACTTAAGTCGTGATTCAAGTTCCATATATTTAAATACGAATCTTTATTTTCAAAGGTGGAAAGGGTGCTGAGATCATGAATGTTCCTTCAAGAGAAAACAGTATTCAAGGTGGATTACTGGCTGGTTTTTATCGTGCGCAGAAGATCGGGGATGGTGACTGTTACAAGGTTGCACTAGGTCCATAAATGACGGCTGATTTTGTCGTCAGTTCTTTGCACTGATGTTTCTCAAAATAACTAATAATTATACATGTAGTTCTTGCCACAAAGTAACGTAATTAATCAATCTTTTCCATATTTTTCCGCCAAACATAATACTTTCTTATAAATGTCACAAATATAGTTAAATACGATACGTATTCATGTGACCACTGACTTTTGTCTCAAAATCGACTTAAATTAAAACTAACCTAATCGCTTGCGAATTACGCATTAGGGGTGTTACCCAAACCCCCACACGATCCCCGCGATCCTCACACCTCTGGTAATTTCGTCCCGAATAACTTCAAGTGATTTTGAGGGCCGAAATTTCTCTCAAAGCCAGGGTTTACTGATGCGAACTACTACATATATACACGAATATCGCCTGTTAATAACTAGTGTAGAAAATATACTTAAAATACTCACTGAAATGTTATATTTTTGTGAGAAAACACAGAAACATCAACGTTCAACAGTTTAAAAAAGTAATGATTTCATGGTTTAGAAGACATTTTGTCAACTCAGCAATATTCAAATCGAAGATTGTGGCAAGATAATGGACCGATTAAAAAACCCGCAAAAAAGGTGTTTAAAGTGTGAACGAAGTTGTTAAAGTATGAAATTAGTATAATTGAACACCCTGCGATAATTCTTCATACGTAGTAAGACACATGACACATGAAAGCAGGTCTAGAGAACTGATGTGTTGAACACGCAATTATATATATCTATCTTTCTCATCCTTCGTATTTATTATATTCATTCGCGTGAAAAGATTTTATGCGAACTTAAAGGCGAAGTTATTCATTATCCAAAGCCAAGGTACAAGCGTTTATTGATGATTTAATGTATCAACTTGTATAGTTGCAGTGTTTTAGTGTACGTTTTGACATTATAGGCTGGCTTTAAAAAAGCCGCGGTTGGCTTTACCCAGGTTAAGAATCTAGAAACGAAATTTTCCAGTACTGTTGCACTTCACGCAGGAACCTCTTCTAGTTGAAAAGCTGGGACGTAGGAAGCATCCAGAGATTGCGCGGGGGGGGGGCACCAGCTTTCAGGGACACTTTTGGTTCATAAAAAGGTGTATAGGCCGGGCGGTTTGATTGCCAAAGCGACAAGGATACCACTCAGTGTGGTTTATATTTATGCTCTACAAAACGATTTGGGACGCGACTGTTGAGAAGAGAATTTTTTTTCAATGTTTTTGATTCCATTTTTGTTATGTGACTATATGTTTTTCTTTTTGTTAAACTTCAGAAAGATGCAAATCAGACGGTTCATTGGTCTTGTTTTCATCCTGTCTTTTTCCTCCGCGGAATTTGAAAAGGAGAGAAGTATAATGACGACCCTTCGCAACAACTTTCGCAACGCATATCCAGCCGGGCAACAGTTTGGTGTTCTTTATCTTCACAAGGAAGCGTCGCCACAGACCCAGTTGTCAGTTACGATGTTCAGAACCTGTGTACATTCGTGGATAAATCGGGTACGCAGAAAAACATCATAAGAAGTACCGCAGCATCTTGGTCTACAAATATCTTTAATCCAGCTAATGGTGTCATGAGGTTTAATCCCCCAATAGGGCCAACTATGACTCCACTCCTTGCAGAAGATTGTAAAAATCGGCATCCTAATGTGGCGACTGCTGGTTATGATCAAAGTATACACAAGCCCGTGAGCAATGCAGATCATTCAGAATATTTTCTTCTTACCCTGGCGCTGAAGAAAATGTTGCAGTCGTACAAACAAAACTCGGAAGGAAACGTCTGTCCTGGAGCGATATTCCTATATTCATACAACTCTCCTTGTTATAGCCTGCCATACGGGAAGTACGGGTTCAATTGTATGAATTCAATTGGATTTGCGAGAAAAGATACAATTAATGTGGAATGTTCAGGCACAACTGAAGTACCATTCTATGTTGGTTACACGAAGAAGTACAATGGAAAGAAAGAGGACTGGAAGGCCGAGAAAGAAGCGCTGGAATCGGTAAACGTAGATGTAATTCAGGTACCATAGTGCATAGTCAGGCGCTCCGACATTAAAAAACTTGTTGCAAAAGTAATTCATTCGTGAACAGTTGATTTCTAGTCTATCCTTCATTTTTAGTCTGGTCTACAGGTTCCTAGACCATTTTTATTTATACGGTACGCCTAAAACAGTAGCGTAGCCAGCCTGACCTACGCCACTGCGGTAAAGACGACCAGACCGGCCCTGTTGTATTTCAGTACAGACAGATTACTGGTATTTTACAATGTTTCAAGAACTCTGTATTCAAGTATATCGTTATTTACATCTGCCTTGCACAGGAAATGCAGTTTCACCGCTATACGAAATATTTTATTTCAATTGCATGGCAATCTTGTAAATCAGTGAGATTTTAACCCTTGTAATATTATGTAACTCAATAGTTATATGTAATCATGTTTCGTTAATGTTCTTGTAATTTGTTATACTGAAGATTTTACCGTGTTTTAAGTAAATTTGATTGATCGATTGATTGAGGGCCGAAATTTTTCTCAAAGCCAGGGTTTACTGACGCTTACTATATTACATATACACACGAATATTACCTGTTAAATAATCGTATAGCCGGAAAGTATACTTGAAATTTGTGAAAAAACGCAGAAGCACTGAAGCAGCAACGGTCAACAGTTTAAAAGTAAGGATTTCATGGTTTAGAAGACATTTTGTCAACTCAACAATACAAGTCGAAGATTATGGGAAGATAATGGACATTAATTAAAAAAAGTGTTTAAAGTGTCATTGAGTACAATGAAGTGGTTAAAGTATGAAATTAGTACAATTAAACACCCTGCGATAATTCTTTAATACGGTACGACAAATGACACATGAAAGCAGGTGTGGAGAACTGATGCATGTGTTGAACATGCAATTATATATTTGTTTTTTATTGTATTCAAAGTATTCATCTGCATGTAAAGATCTTACGAAGTTAAAGGCGAAGTTATTCATTATCCAAAGCCAAGGTATAAGACTATAACTGTTTATTGATGATTTAATGTATCAACTTGTATAGTTGCAGTATTTTAGTGTACATTTTGACACTATATGGATTGGCTTTCAAAGAGCCGCGGTTAGCTTTACCCAGGTTAAGAATCTAGGAAAGAAATTTTCCAGAACTGTTCTTCATGCAAACCTCTTCTTGTTGAAAAGAGTTTTTTTTTCTAATGCTTTCATTTCATTTTTATGATCTGTGACTCCTGATGTTTCTCTTTTTGTTAAACTTCAGGAAGATGCAAATCAGACGGTTCATTGGTCTTGTTCTCATCCTGTCTTTTTCCTCTGCGGAATTTGAAGACGAGAGAAGAATACTGACGACCCTTCGCAACAACTTTCGCAACGCATATCCACCTGAGCAAGAGCAGTTTGGTGTTCTTTATCTTCACCAGGGAAGCGTCGCCAACCCCCCTGTCTACGATGTTCAGAACCTGTGTAAAACCAAGGATGAAATGGGTAGGCGGAAAAACGTCATAAAAGAAGCTGCAGCGTTTTGGTCTACAAATTATGATCCAGATAATAGCGTCGCATTGTTTAACCCCCCAATATGGCCAACTCTGACTCCACTCCTTGCAATTGATTGCGAAAAACAACATCCTAATGTAGCGACTGCTGGTTATGATAAAAGTTTATCACTGAATTCAGGTCATTCGGAATATTTTCTTCTTAACCTGGCGCTGGAGGAAATGTTACAGTCATACAAGCAAAACTCGAATGGCCATATCTGTCCTGGAGCGATATTCCTGTATTCATATCTCTCTCCCTGTTTTCGCGACGTTTCAACGGCTAATTGTGTAAATGTCATTAGAGAAGCTAGAAAAAAAATTGATAAGAAATGTCCAGACCCAGTGATACCATTTTATGTTGGTTACACAACTGAGTACCAGGACGAGGACGGTGATTGGGATCAAGGGCAAATGTGGCTGACTATGGCAAAAATAAAAGTAATTCATGTACAATAGTGGGCAGGCGCTTTGACATTTAAAAAAAAAATTGTTGCAGAAGTGATTCATTCGTGAACAGTTGATTTCTGGTCTATCCCAGAGTTTTTTTTGGGGTTTTTTTTATAGATTCCTATACTCAACAGGAATTGTATTAGTTGTTCAAGTAGTTGTTTGACTTTTTTTCTTGCATAATAATTCGTGTTGAGCTGACTCAGCCATGCAGAGACTGGGGAGAGTATTCAGGGGTAAATTAAGGTTGTTTTCAGTCGATACAAATTTTTATATCCGTTTCATATATGTTTAATAACAGTGTTTTTTGTATGTAAAAGAAAAATTTGGAAAGCACGCCAAAAAAAAGAAAAATTTGGGAAAGAACGTAAAAACACCCAAAAGAGATCATCCAGCCTATGCCACAATCTAACCTGGTTATACAACCGGCTGCAATATACCAACATAGTTACAACTACGAAAGGTGCAAGGACAGTTGCTATAGGAAGAACTCCCCCCATAACTCACATCTTAACGGCCGTCTAAGGGGGAGATGCACTACGGCCCCCAGACCATGATGTATGTGCACCTAACCGTTACGTCTCAGTGAGAAACAGAGTATGCATCGCCACAAGCCTAGCGTCATAGACGAATCAGCTACAGTGGCTAGCCCTGAGAGCGACGATAAATTTAACGTATTTAAGCTTTTCCTGGTCTCGGGGGGCGGTCCCTAACAAGTATATGCATAGAAAACGATTAATAAGGCATACGCTTGGAAATGTCAAGATTTAAACGCCTAAACGTTTTTTAAGTGATTTTAGCGAGAAATTTTAGTGTTTTGGTATTCTTTTAGCATTTTTAAACAATCCTTGTTGGTTTTTAACGTCAAAATAGTCATCATTCTCGAAAGGAAACTCAATATAAATGACTGAACGGCTTTATAGTTTATTAAAATGTTTCGTGTTTAGTATAGCCGCTTGATTCGCCGGTACAATTTGGGCCTAAATTGTGTGTATTTATTTCACAAGTTTTTATTTTTTATCTTCGTTGATTCTGTTGTATTTTCGGGGAATATTGAAGTTCGATCTTTCTTCTTTTTTTTCTTTTGTTGTAGATAACTACTGTGATTTCCATCACTAAAAATAACAAACAAATGTCAGTAGAGTCAGACTACAGCATTCAGGGTGGATTACTGGCTGGTTTTTATCGGAAGCAGAAGATTGGGAA